TATGTTTGCCACTCGAACCGAGGATCAAACTCACAATGTTGACGTTTTGTTTGACAAATGCAAAACACACGGTTACTTTAAAATACCCACTAATGAGTAGAATCTAACCCAATTTGAAGAATAGAGACTTATCCTATAAACTCATTCTCGCTCATTACGCATTAATAAGCATCTGTTACCAAGGCTGTTACGCATTAATGAATAATCGTTACTTATTTGTGGGTCACAACCACTTATTAATGTTTTTTTTATTTAATAAATGATTTAAGACACCTTTCTTAGAAATGGGTGAAATTCTACTCATTAATGCATTATTTTGTGATTCGAGCTCGGATTAAAATACAAAATAATAGATTTACGCATTTTGTTCGAATTCAGCATTTTGATTGAACATATTTTCGAATTTTTCGCGCAAATGACGAATTATCGTGTATTTTTATTATTCGTCGAATAATTGTGTATTTTTTTTCCGAATTTTGTATTTTTTGCATTTTTTTGAGTAATGACGATTAATGATGAATTTTTGTGTATTTTTTTTTCATTTACGTATTTTCGATTCATTCTCGAGAGCAGTGAATTGCCCCTCGGTTCATCGTGTCCTGGGTCACGAAAGGTGCACTCCGCTTCCCGCACGTGCAGATGGCTTGCCAAACCAGGAATTTCTTCGCAAATTTGGACATCTTCTGAGTGCGGACATGCTCCGGAACGCTGAACTTATCCTTGGCCGTGAAAAACAGGTTGCCGGGGATCTGTTTGAAGTCGGCCTTCACATATGTTTCGTCGTCCATGATGCAGCATTCAACTTTCGTCAGCATGTTGAGGTACAACTTCCTGGCACGGGTTTTGGCGGACTTGTTCTGCTTCTCGTCGCGATTAGGGGCCTTTTGTACCTTGAACGTTCGAAGCCCAGCCTTAGTTTTGGCCTTCTGGACAAAACTTCGGCTTAGGTGCAGCTTCTTAGCCACATCCCTAACGGAGGCGTTCGGATTTCGGTTGAAGGTCCCAACTACGCGGTTGTGATTTTTGGTGTTGTACGCAATACTTTTTCCTTCACTTCTGGGCTTCCGATCGGTGGTCAACCGTTCCTCGAACCGCTTAATCACTCGCGACATCGTGGAATTCGCGATTCCCAACGTTTTAGCGATGGAACGATGCGAGAGATCCTTGTTCTCGTGATGAATGCGCAAGATTTTATCACGCACGAGCTGTTCTTTCGACTCCATTTCCGCGAGTTTTGATCACAGGACTTTAATGCAGGATGTAAATAATGCACTATGAACTAAATCCACCCAAATTTTCATTAAATTCTACCCAACGGTTAAAAAGTTAGAGCAATTTCATAGTGTGGCAATTTCATCGTGGACACCCTTTAAGAGCAGTCTTGAAAAATTCCTTGGAATTCTCCTCCGAATTCCGTAGAAACTCTTCATTAATTTTTCTAGAAATGATTACAGGAATAGCCTTGAAACTCTCCTAAGTATTCCTTTGAAATTTACCTAAAAAATCTGTTAGATTTTTTAAAAATTTGCTTAGAATTCCCTTGGAATCATCCTCAAAATTTGCATTGAATTCTTCTCTAGTAATTCTACTCACAAGTACCTTGGAGTTCTCTTTACAAATTCCTTAGTCAGAACTATCTTTGGAATTACCTTGGAATTCTCATCAGAATAAATTCTGTTGGAAATTTCATTTGAATCCTACTCAGAACACCCCTCATTTTGTAGGTATGTGTGTTAACCAAGATATTTATGAAAAGACATGTTTGTTGCCTTTTTTGAAAAAAAAAACACAGTTGTTCCGTGCTGTTTTGGCTCAGGAACGGTATATCGCCAACAACGTGCAAGTCGTACCCAAGGACAACAACCCTCCAAACTCGCCGGAGCTGCACCCAATTGAAAAATATTGGGCAATCGTTAAGCGGAACCTCAAGAAAACTCAGAAAACAGCTCAAAGCAAATTGACGTTCAGCATCAAATAAGGCTGATACAACAGCGTTACAAAATCTGATGGAAGGTGTAAAACGTAAAGTCCGATAGTTCGCATTAGGAAAATCGGAAGCCTAATCAAATAATTTTCCTGTATTGTATCCAGCTTTCCATGCTCGGTAATGGCGGCCTGTTTGTATGAATAATTTTATCCTTCACTGTGCTTTTTGACACTAGCTGGAGGGCGTATGTTGTTCCATTTTCTTCTGTTCCTGGGAGAGGGAAAGGGAGGGGTCAAAGTCCGAACCTCCAGATAGTGTCAAAAAGCACAGTGAAGGATACAATTATTCAAACAAACAGGCTGCCATTACCGAGCATGGAAAGCTGGATAGTCATTGAACTTCAAAAAGAAATAAAGTTTGATCATTTATACAATAACATAATCAGTTTGCACTTAATCATGATTGACCAATTTTTGACCGTTCCACCCTTTACCTTGGAATTTTCCTTACGTTTCAACAGGACTAACTTGAAAGAAATTCTCCTTATGTTTCAACAGGACTAACTTGAAACGAATCCTCAGATTTAATTTAAAGTTTTTCTAACAAGTCTTCCCTTGGAATACACCTCTGAGTTTCCTTGAAAGGGTCCCTAGAGTTGCTTTGACATTTTCATCAAATTCATATTCAGAAGCTACTTGATCATCCTCATGTTTTGAAAAAATAAATAAAAATATCCTCAGGATGTCATGGAGATCATGGAGATACTTTTTTAATAATTTCTGATCATCCTGGTGTCATGGTTGAATATCTGAATAACGTGATTTGAATTGTTGGACAGATGAAGATCTTTTGAATAATACTTGATCATCCTGATGTATTGAAATAATAGCTCAAGAAGTTTCTTGAAGGTACTTATTTAGCCTGAAGGTTTAAAACAAATAACCTGAGGATTTAATGAAAATCGCTGATCACCTGATGACCTTTGGAATACTTTCTGAGCAACCTGGTATTAGGGTTAAACATCTGAGAGACGTGATTTAAATTGTTGGACACTTGAAGACTTGAAAATATATCATAAGAAGTTTTTGGAGATCTCTTATCACCTGAAGGTGTTTGAAATATTTTCTGAGTCACCTGGTATCATGAGATAATATTGAATTGTTGGACAGTTTTAGATCTTCAGAATAGTACCCGACCAACCCGAAGTCTCGAAAAAGTATCTAGAGGACTATATTGGAAATCTTAAAACACATGAAGGTCTTTGGAATAATTTCGGAGGTACTGAGAAAATGATGTGATTTGGATAGTTGGATATTTTCAGAAAGATACCTGATCAAACTGAAGTCTTAAAAAGTAACCCAAGGTTATCATGGGGATCTCTGATGGTCTTCGGAATAATTTCTGAGTCACCTGGTATCATGAGAGAACATATAATAAACGTGATTTGAATTGGTGGATAGTTAAAGGTGTTTACAATAATATTTGATCTACCTGAAGTCTTGAAAAAGTATCAAGAAGACTCCATGGAACACCTCAAGATCGTTGGAATGTCTGAGCAGCCTGGTAGCATAGGAGAAAATATCTGTTTGATGCTCGGTTTGATGTAAAAGAAGCGAGTGCTTTCCTTGAAGTTCTATGTAATTCACAGAACTTCTATGATGTTCGTCGATCTTTTAATGAAATACCTCTCACTTCTAAGAAATTACCTGAACTTAAATCATACTCCCTGAAACTTTTTTGAAAATACAAGTTCCATGAAGTTTACTGTTCTCTGTGAAGTCCGCCGATTTTTCGCCTCTTCGTAAATTTCTTTTAAATCCTCTCAACTACTACGAAGTGCTCTGAAAATTTACTAGAAACATCTATAAATACATCCAAAGAAATTTGAAACAGAGTTCCATTCGTGTTTCAAACCCGCTCAGAAATAAAACAGAATACTCGGGCAGATGCAGTTTCATTATTCGAGCACCATTTTGCACCAGATTTGCAGTTCTGCTACTCAGTATTGCGAGGGGTGCGTTTCTGTTCTAGTTTCAAATTGAACTGGACAAGGTGGTTGGGGACTTTTTCTGTTTTCGCTCTTCATCAACATCAACAAATATTTTGGATGTATTCAGTAGTAAAGTAGACCCACCCCAGGTGCGATGTCAATTATACAAGAACTGCCCTAATAAATTTGTTATGGTTATTTTGCTTAACGATGTGTATCATCCAAACCATTTGTGAAAAAGTTCGACTGTTTGGGATATTGTTCGTTTATGGTATTTGTTTATTAGGGTGGCCCAACCGGCTTATTGGGATAGTTAAATATGAAAATGTTTTTTTTTTTTGCTGGTGTCTGATGATGGCTAAGACCATGGTTGGTCCATCTTGCCATGAAAATGTTTAGTGGTGTTCGTATTTCATCGCAATGTTTATCTTTTTACATTAAACAGCTGTTTTCTGTGACGACACGTCTGCCATTCGCAGTATGGAATGTTGTGCTGCCGTGACATCGTCATTCGCTTGCTCAGCAGTTTTGCTTCTAACACCAAGAAGCTGCCTGTTGTTCCAGACCTTGTATAATTCACGGCGAATGAGAACGACCCAAATTTGAGTTTAGTTCACTCATAATCGCCAAAAGTGCAGGAACTCAGCGATGAGTAAAATTTGTCTCATGTTTTCCCAGGTTTTTGCAGGATTTTCCAGGGAAAAATTCCCGAATTTGAGAAAAGTAAAGATTCGATTCACTCAGTCTATTGGTACTACTCCGAGACTGAATAAAATTTTCGTCAATTTCCTCATTTTCCGGTAGATTTTTTAGGTTTTCCACAGGAAACCATGAGACAAATTTACTCATCGCTGAGTTCCTGCACTTTTGGCGATTATGAGTGAACTAAACTCAAATTTGGGTCGTTCTCTTTCACCGTGTTGACATCGCCCCATGGGCCGTATTTTTAGCCGATGAGGCACAGACGGATTCATTCAAGTTCATTTTAATTCACGCCAAAAGTGACAGCAGCGTCGTTTGCGCCAGCGACTCAGCGCGAAAACAGCGGATTTTGTTTACGTTTAGCGTCTTCGGCAGCTGACCAGTTTTGTGGAAATTTTAGATAAGTTTTATTATTAATTTTACGTTTCGTGAACCTTTCTGCACAGAGGTACAATTAGTGTGTTATCGAAATTAAATCGTGAGACAAGCTATAAATGGATCGAGTGATCGATGATATGGCCACAGAAGAAGCTGAAAATCTGAACCCTTCCCAAGATGAGGAGGACGAGGAAGAAATCCCGATGACTGCACAGCAGGTACGTTGCAATACGTTTAGGGTAGAGTGGTTTACTTTTTACCAACATCGATTCTGATGCAGTTGCTGGAAAATCTCCAACGTGCATGGATGAATGAGAAGTTTGCCGTGCAGCTGCTGCCGTACGAAGAGGCCATCGTGGACATGGTCATGAGTCAACTTGTGCACATGGAGGATAATTTGGCCAGTACGAATAAGAACGATATGCTGTACATCGCTCATCGGATGGAAGTGGAACGGATAAGGTACGTCCTGGCAAGTTATCATCGGTGTCGGTTGCAAAAAATAGAGGAGTACACTTTTCACATTCTGGAAGAAGAATCCAAACGGCCGGAGGGTGACAAGAGGCTGTCGGCAGGGGAGTTCCAGTTTGCAACGGATTTTTATAAAAGTATGGAGAGCCATTTCAATCAGCTGGCGGTGCGCCATATGCCTCAGAATCACCAGGATGATGAACATGTCCGCAGGGTTGTACCGAACATCGACGGCCACGTCTTCATACGGGCCAAGGAGAGTGTGGCAGAATTTTCGATTAGTGCCGATCATGAAACGATCAACATCGCCGCAGGGTCGATCCATATGTTTAAGTATAGGGACGTGGAACCGTTAGTGATGGAGGGAATAGTTGAATTAATTTAATTTGTTTATTTGTTTATTTGAATAAGAGCTTATTGTGAGAAATCCATGAAATCGGTATGAGTCTGAGTGTTACCGTTACACATAAACACGTGACAGTTCTAGTACTGCGCTTTCGCCCTTGAAAGTGGTTGCAGTCTGCTAGCTACCATAGCAACGGGATGTTTGGGCGCACGCTGTTTGTTCGTTTAGCGTTGATTGTAAAACTTTAATATGGGCACAGGTAAACACAAACAATAACAATCGTCCGCGGTAAGGATTTTGCTTAAATTATTAATAAGGCATTCGAGGCGCAAAAAATCAATTGTGTAATCAAACCAGCGGAGCGCTATGGCGCATAAATGGAATCACAACTTTCCAAAGATTGCTCGTGAAGCTGGTTTCGCCATAAGGGAACTGTCGGTTGGTCACTGCATCGATTGGAGGTTTATCGGTGAGCATCTTTACAGATAAGTCGAAACGGGATTACGCAATAATGTGTTCAATATTGAATTGCAGCTTCCATTGACCCATACGCTATCGTTGGCGATAAAGACTACGAAAAGCTGGACGAGTTCATTCCCCACATCTCGGAGGTACCCATCGGAACGGTACTGAACAATCGAATCCTCGATCCGGCGATAGGAAAGTACTTTATCCTGGCTCAATTTAGCATCCAATATCTACTATTCTGCAAGCAGTTCCTAGACGAAACCGTTGTGGAAATTAGGAATACAGCACAGGACGTCCAGAAGGAAAACAACAGATTGGAGAAAATTTGTCGAAAGAAAAACGAAGAAATTGTGTCTCTTCATCGGAAGCTGCAGAGAGTCGAAAACACCCATGCTCAGCAGGTGGTCTATCCGTGTTCCAAGTGTACGAAGAATTTCATCAGTCTGGAACTACTGAATGCCCACATGGCGCGGAAGCACGCGGAGAAAATGGTGGGTTCGAGTGATTCCAAACAGTCTGCAGGCCGAAAACTTTCCGAAACGGATTCAAATTTAATAAATACGATCAAGCTGGAGCTGGAGGTGAAGCAACTGAAGGAACGATTGAACGCAGCGGAAAAAGATTTGATGGATCAACGCAGTCGGGACCACCACCGGTGTCACGGGTGCAGCGATGAACGGGTGAAGGATAGAGAACGGAAATCGAAACCTGTCGAGTGGCACAGCGTTGGGATTCAAAGCAATCTGGAAGATGCCAAGGATGTCAACGAGAAGGAGGTGCAAACGAACATACGAAGTAAATCGGAGACGCCACCGAGGTAGGTAGTTCCCTGGCTATTGTTTTAAGATATATAAAAAAAAAACTTCTCTAAGATGAGATGATTAAGTTAATTCTCATCTTATTCCTCACTGAAGTTGATCCCATTCCATGTTGCCTATTTCCCAGACTATCCCCGATTCCACGCTTCTCGCCGTCCCCGACGCGTCCGCCGCTTCCACCGGTACAATTACCACAGTCACCAGCCCCAACGCCGTTGCTCGACTACATCTCCAAGTCCGAACTCGAAGCGATCGTTCGCGAGCAGAACGAGCAGTTTGAAAGTTGGAAAAGAGCCGAACGTCACAAGTTTAACAACGAAATCGACAAGGTTCGGCAGAGTCTTACGGAAGCCATCCAGGAATTGGAAAAGCGTGATCGAATAACGGCAGCGGTCCATGCAGCTTCAATACCGAGCGCAGCCATTGAACGAAAGGAAGACGACGAGAACATTTGGAAGATGCGTTACCGGGAACTGGAGCAGATGTACGAGAACAGTCAGAGGCAGGTTAGGGAGACGGTTGAGAATATCGAATCGGTCTACGAGGAGAAGTTCCGGCAGATTGAACGAATGATGGAACGGCAGAAGGCAACAGTTGAAGCAGTTAGCATGGAAAGAAATGAAGCTAGTAGAGGTAGAGTAGCTAGCGAAAGCTCGTTACTGCAAATCCCAGTACCAAAAATTGATTTTAAGGCATCACTTCCAACACCTTTCACCAAACAAGATGAAGAATCTGAAATCGATGAACCCATAACGCACGACGAGTCTGCTCCGGAAGAGCAATCCGAAAGCGACGAAGAAATTCGTGCTCTGGAAGCAGCCAAGGCAAAATTGCTGGCTCGGGCCAATATCCCACGGGTCGAAGAACCAAAAGAAGCCTCCGTTTCCGCAGAGAAACCGTTGATTTCACCGAAGAAGCAGATTTTGCATACATTCAAAAGTCGCTTGAAACTGTTGGGGATCGATTCGAAAACGAAAACACTTTCTAAGGATGATCTCAATGTCGCAACCGAAGCATTGGCAGAACGAAGAGATGTTAGCAAAAAGAAGAATCGAGGTTTCTTCATAACAAGGAATCAACTGATGGCGAAAGTAGATCAGATAGCTAAAAGTCGAATGGGAGAAGCGACGAAAGCCAAAGCCCATTTGAAATCGGATGAACAACCGGTTATCAAAAAGCGTGAATCTCAAGCTCAGCCTGTTCCAAAGCTGCGATCAAGCTTCCAAGGGTCCGAACGGAACCCAGTCATCGATATACTTCCATCCAAATTGAGAATAACAACGGAAGATTATCTCACTGTTCCAAAGCAAATCAATCCGTACGCAAATATGTTTAAGGCAAAATCTTCGTTCAGCGTCCCGGAAGTGAAACTATCGAGTGATGATATCCTCACAATTCAAGCGGAGATCAACCCTATGACAGAAGCTCTATCGAGAAGCCCCGTCGCTTCGGTGAGAACATCTCCAAGACCGTCCATGTCGGAATACGAACGACATTTGGAACGGCTATTGGACACTCCCGTGAAACGACTGTCGACTCCTCCGGATGTGATAACTGTGGAAAGTAGCAGCAGACGTGCGGCGGCGATGGAAAACGATTCCGATTTGAGTGATATCTTGGAAGCTGTTCCACTGCAACCAAAGCCGATTCCCAAAAAACGAGTGCTGTTCAATTTAGATCGCGATAACAACAGTGGAAATGTTGAGAAGTTAGCTATAGCAGAACCTGATCTGAGCATGACGAAGCAAATCGGCGCACCGTCGTTGTCCTCTACCGTGATCCAGGTTTCTAAAGTTGAAGAGGATTCCGATTGGAACATTAGTAGCTTTGATGACGAAAAATAACCATTTTATCGTAGGTAGCAATAGTGACTGAAATAAATTCATGGCTGTCATCCGAAAATACTTACTCACCGAACAATTTGAATGTTAACAGCCTCGCTTTATTTTCACCTATCCGTTGTTTTACCTTCTCCTCCTGCCACGAATCTGAGTCCATCCCGGATCAACATCCTCTTCGTGGAACTCCGTTGTTGAACCTTCGGTACTGGGGGAGGCATTCATTCCAGCCGATCTCGCCATCGGTACTGGTTCGACGTCCATGTCCTGATCATCCATATCCTCATCCTCGGTGCCGCTGCTATCGTCCATCATCTGCATCTTTATCCGATTCCCGGATTTGATCCAAATTTCGCACGGACCCATACGGGTCAATTCCGTTCGCACTTGATCCTCTTTGTTTTCCTTCAGTAAATTGAGATATTTAATAAGGATGTTGCTGATTTCTGCAGAGAAAGAAGGATAATAATTTCTTCAAACAACTTGCAATGTATTCCAAAACTCTAACCATTGACGGATTCATCTTCGCAGATAGTTTGAAATTCCTGATCCATAATTTCCTCCATCACCTCTCTCAGGTCGTAAGCATCTACTTTTTTGTTTTCCGTGCAGTAACAGGTAACATAATTGATCATTTCTATTGCAGTCTGTAATTGGTGAAAATAATAGAAAAATTAACTAATCACACATAATTTATACTAGAAATTTACATTTAATCCCAGCTGTCCACCCATTCCATGTTCCACAGCCAGTCGGAGGGCCGTCCAGCGATTGAAGACACTTTCGACGATTTCTTTAAAGGCAGGTTGCAACTGCGCCAGCGGAATTTGGGAACTGCTTGCCATTGTGTCGTCTTATTTTAAATGTGAAGGAAATTGATTTATTTTTACTGACGAAAACGGACTGAAGAACGCAACACTAAACACTTTTGGAACACATTTTTTTGGTTATCAACACCATCAGACCGTCAGTGCACTATGACGTTAGTGACGTTTGTTGCCTGACCCGATGAACAATCTGTCGGATGAATTGCTTAGAAAATAATGGTTAGAAAATATGGCGGCTACAAAAGATCCCCTTTCGGAATAGCCGTTGTAAAGAACAAAATTTGGTAAATTATTTAAATCTACACTAAAAAATATTACTAATCTAAAATAGATTAAAATTTAATCTTTATTTTATTTAGCTTTGTTTATTCATAGCTTTGATTAAAAAGTTTAAAGTTTGTTTTATGCATGAGTATGAATAACATGTCATAGTTCATGATTATGCATAAAAATTTGTTTCTCTGTTTAGCTCTTGTCAATAATCGACATAAACCGCCTCAAACAAATATTGTTTGCCATCTGAGCTTCAAGTGAAAAAACACTGCAGTAGGTGTTTATAAAACATTAATTAAATGCAGCAACATAATTTTAGATGCTGATGTTTGGCTATCCACAGCAGAATATCATCGAAGGTATTAGATACGAGTTTTTTTTTATATAACATTGGTCATTCATCATTGCTTTGGAGTGAATCACTGTCGCTGTGGGATTCCATGCTTTTGCCGCTGATCATGGGGATATCGAGAACAAAAAAGAGTTCCGGTGAGGGAATCGAGAAAGGTGGGAATATTCTGTGGTACGGTGGTGAGTATGATTCAAAATGTTTAATTATTATCAGGTATTTTTGGACTTCTATCGACATCCACCAGCTACGATCATACGGGAGGGAACCGAATTGCCGTCGCCACAAAATCAATGAAGCGAAAAATACTGAATCGGATGATCTGTGTAAAATAAAAACGTATCTCCAATGGTTACGGTTCGCTCTCTCCAGCTTTTTGTTTATGTTTTTCAATCATAACAAACCACATGAAACTGAAAAATAATCTGGCGAATAATCGCATAATATACATATGAGGAATACCTCAATTTTATACTATCCAATGTATAAACCAGTTTTATACTAAGTTAGTATTATCAACAATCAATACGAAACTAACGATTTTAAATTGGCTCACCACTTTAGTAGCCTATTGGTCCCAAGCAAACGATTAACGTACCCTATTCTAGTTGAAATTCTATTACTACACTATGTTTGTTTTGATTCACTATGAAAGTTTGACAGATAACATCAGGGGTGTGTGGATTCATGCAGAACATGCAGGGGTGAGTGAAATAGCTTGGGACTGCTTGGGACCGTTGTTCTGGTACTGAGTGAGCCAAAAATAATAATGATTTTCTTCGGGACCCAGTGGTCTTAGAGTTACCTCTATGGTATTATCTCGCTTTATACCAAGCTATACGTCGGTAAGGAGAGTTACGATTTAGCGTAACTTTTAATCTATTTAGATTTGAAAATCGTTTGAGTGTACATTTACCACATTTATAGAAAAAATAAGTTGATAACATCCCGACCAGTAGTTCATGAAACTTCTTCAAAGTTCTTTATACAAAAATAAAGATTTATGTCGGTAATTCTTTCACACTTCTTGCGCTAGTGTGGGATTTTTTGATAATTTAGAATTGAGATTTGATGTGACGCCCCCTCGTGATAGCCACTGCCACACTCACATAAATTGCAGCCTAAGAGCCCAATTCGAAACAAGTGCGAGTCTAACGAACAAGTGATTGGACATAACACTGAAACAAAATCCATTGTCAAAAATACTATATTGCTGCACACTTAATCTAGCTCTAATCTAGTAAAATCTCCAACAGCCGATTACCTCGGCATTTACTTTTGCTGATATGTATGTATGTATCAAGGGGTAACACCCTGGGGGTTAGTGGATTTTCGAGGGGTGAATCGATTAGCTTGGGGCCGAAGAGAGTACCAGAGCTGAGCCAAAAAGTTGAGCACATTATTTCGGGACCTTCTAGTCTTAGAGTTACTTCTATGGTACAACATAAAGTTGGGATTATACCCCGAATTGGTGGTTAGGCGCTTTTTATGGTTTTGACGTAGGACTACGTCTTTGATTTCTATATGGGGGTACACTTCGTGAAAACCAAAAATGGAACATGTAACAAATTAAGAAAGATTTTGAACGTTAATAACTCAGCTGCCCCTGGTCCAATTTCAATAATTTTATCATCAATCGATCAGAAATATGGCTACGCATCGATAACAATTCTTTCGAATGTTGATTTTCAACAATAAACTATTGAAAAACTGGTAAATATCCAGCATTGTCCAAAAGCGTCGAATTAACTAACAAATCCACCAATTACCTACATGCATATGCTGCTTCCCCAGCACAGTCGTCAGAGAGTAGTAAGTTGACGAAACAAGTCGAAGTGGCATTCGCCTTCGATCCTCTGGCGCGTGCGAATAGGGAGGACGGAATTACGTAATATTTTGCACACTCATCGCCATGTTCAGAACCACACGAACGTGCAGTTAGCTACCTGTTATATAGACAACCAGCTCTGATTTGATTTGAATATAATTTAATTGCTATTGTTGTTACTCATTTTATATTAAATATTTTATTTGCAGTCATCATTCAACGGAGCTTTGGTGATTTCCCGAGGATTTTCATGTAAAGATGAAAATTGTGCTGGACGTACTGGCATTTTCAAGTAGCCTAACCATTGCGCTCTTGAAGTCTGAAGTTACATCACAAATGGGAGAGGACATAAGGACGATGCCAGAGTTAATTTGGAAACGGCACGACGTCAACTATGCAGACCTGTATGGGGACTTCAGTGAAACCCCGAGAACTTTCACCTGTTTACCCAATTGTTACCCCAACCTCGAGTATGCCACGAGTAATCGGTTCTCGTTCCACTAACGTTAGGTTTAAGAAAACTCTGTTAATCTAAAATTGAACTTCAGCATTGTGAAGCTAATGCAACCGAGCTTTGACAAAATTAAAAACATACATACATATATATTTAAAAAAAGTCATGGTTTACATTTGGCTCACGGTCTTCTTTCACATGTTTGCCTAATTTGCTAAATTTGCTCAATTGATTAAAATTAATCACTTATCTATTTCTATCTATTTATGTATTATCTATCTACCCTTATTTTGATCGAAAAAAAAAAAATCCAAAATACTTATGACAAATCCGTTCCGATCCAAATAGGGAAAAGAGTGAATATTATAATGAAACTTGTTCAGGAAAAGTGTGTTTGCTCAAATACTATCTCTAATATAGCTACTTAAATAAGGGAGACGGATACTTCAGGTTGAGAATCGGTGCAGCTGGAAAGCATATGTTTTTTTTTTAATTTTCTTATGTCAGAATAAAAGACCATAGTTCACCTTTCCTCTGAGGTTGTAAATCTCTTCTTTTGTATGATATATTCACTAAATACTTTAACGCTCGCAATGCACAAAATCCAACCTAATACATAAAATCCCTAACAACATTGAGTAAACAAACAACACAAATTTGTCTAGCAATCTAGTAATAAGTATTTCTTAAGAATTTTTAAGTATTTATAGGTATCTAAGATATCAATTAGAACTTTATAAGAGAAATTCAAAGTTTAGAGTGTGATACCCCTAGTATTTTGTTATTGATTAAATGATTTTTAAATACAAATGGATATATTTTTGGCTCATGGCCTAATATATTTTTGGTATTGATTCAAATATATTATTCAGTTAATCCAAAGAAAATATTTTTGAATCAACAAACCGGTTGTAGAGTCAATAATCTGTTTGTTGATTCTAAAAACCATTTTATTGATTCAAAAATATGTTTCATTGAAATAGTGATACAATATGTTTGAATCAATAACAAAATACATTAGGCCCTGAAACAAAAATCCATTTTTCTGCGTGTTACAGAAGTGAGATGATAAAATTTCGAAGTGTTTTTTCACCCATTAGTGGGTAAAAAATATACCTATTATTTAACTGTGAACTGATTCTTTAAATGGGTATTTTTTCACCCATTTTATGATTTCAAAATTCCCTCATTATTTGACAGCTGCATACATGGTTTGAAAATGGGTATTTTTATCCATAAATGGGTTTTCACGAAACACCGTGATAATGGTGGTAAGATCGTGCCGGTATTATCCTCGCATTAAAACCTGATCAAAAATATCCGGCTGCTTTGATGTCGACATCAGAGTTAATCAATGCGACATTAAGCAAATATCTTGTAGTTCATGCCAACAGGGACGGTATTAAGAGTTAATCCGAGTTGTATAGCTTATCGCTAAGAGCAACCGTAACGGTACGCTGCTAAACTCATTTTAGCAGCCCTCATCATAGCGCAGCTACCGTATCGGGGGTTGCCATCCCGCATAAGCGTGAACCTTAAATTTACCTTACCTTAAATGGTTAAAATTGTTTATAATCCTTGCTAAACTTCAACTGAAATGGTTATGGAACTTTACATGAACGTTTAATGATAAAGTTTTAACCTTAAGCATTATAGTTTTTTGGAAGTGGACCTTACAAATAATGGGTTGTTAAGAACCATTACCATTCAAAATTCTTGTTTTCTCCATACATTTTCGGAAAGAAAACTATACTAAAACCTTTTAACTTATGGTTTGAGAACATTAATGGTAATGGTTATGGTAACCAGTAAGGTCCATGAATGGTTTTGTAACATCCATCAACTTTATGTGGAATATATCGCGAATTGGTTGCCTGTAAATTACTGATTACCAATTCACGATATATTTCACGTAAAGTTGAGTGATAATACAAAACCATTAATGAACCTTACTGACTACCATAACCATAACCATTAATGTTCTCAAACCATAAGTAAAAACGTTCTAATATAGTTCTCTTTCCGAAAATGTATGGAGAAAACAAGAATTTGGAATGGTAATGGTTCTTAACAACCCATTATTTGTAAGGTCCGCTTCCAAAAAACCATAATACATAAGGTTAAAACTTTATCACACAAACGTTCATGTAAAGTTCCATAACCATTTCAGTTGAAGTTTAGCAGGGATTATAAATAATTTATAACCATTATCGGTAAGGTCATGTGATGGTTCACGTTTATGCGGGATACGAGTAACTAAAATAGCAGTCGGCTTCTCGATGAGAAGCGCGATACCAAATTTAGCAGCGCGATAGCAGCGCGGGAGAAAGGTTGCTGTTCGTAGAAATGTCAAAATACTCACTACCGGTACGGACTACGGCGAGTAAATTGATAACCGCGATAGCAGCGACCGGTGTGGAGAAGAGTGACTAAACTAAAATGAGAGCGCTGTGCGCTGTTAAAATAGTCGCGCGAATGACAACGACCGTTACGGTTGCTCTAATACAGGCTGATATTAACATATGAACATTTCAAATGGTCCTATCAGCTTTGATCGATTCTCTTCATCGACTTTCTCTTTCGTTAATAACTCAGCTGCAAAACCTTTCCCTGTTGTATTTGACGTTTTGGACGCTAGATAAGAACCTCCTTTATCAAACTATGTGGTAGAATTAGCGCGAAATCTGTTTGCATATCAGTGGTTATGAAAAGAGAAAGTCGATGAAGAGAATCGATCAAAGCAGATAGGACCATTTGAAATGTTCATTTGTTGGTGTTTTCAAATTATGTTTGGATAATATTTAAATTTGCATCGAATAGGACTTCAAACCAAAATTTACTTTTCGGAACCACCCTGTCCTCTCCCCAGTTTGACGGCACTTTGAAGTGCGAAACATTTTCATGAAGCCCGCTGTCAGTGTGCGCTGTAAAACAAAATGGATAATGTTTGAGAGCGGTGCTTTCGAGTGAAAAAAGTGAAAAATATTGTGCAAAATCTTAGTTATTTCAACGAAAAAAGTGGTTGTAACTGCTCTTCTGTGTATAGTTGAGTTTTTTGCGGTAAAATTTTTCTCGAAAAGGTGTAATTAAAGGTAAGAATTGTAATTTTTCTTCTGCCCTGTTCACTCATTTGCACATTTTGCGTTGACCGTCTTTCTCGTAGATTCCACGGTCGGAAAAGAGTAATGTCTTGGCCAAACAGTTGGCAAGTACAACCGGGCTATGCAGGATACTCAACGGCGGCTCCGCCACCGACGATGGGGCCAGCCGCTGTTGCTGCTAGTCCTGCAGGATATTCTACTATGACACCGGAGCAATACGCCCAATGGCAACAGTGGCAGCAATATCAGCAGCAATACGCCCAATGGCATGCCCAGTACGGCGAGCAGTACGCTCGTCAAATGGGTAAACCGCTGCCGGCAGTGCCGGCTCCGATGCCCTTACAACATATGGGTATTGCCACCAATGTTCCTCCGCCGGTCGCCGTGGCTACTCAGCCAGTCCCGGTACCGGTAATGCCGCCGACCGTTGCTGTTCAAGCTGTAATTCCTACTGCTGCTGTCATGGCTCCGCCTATGCCGACCAGCGTAGCACCTCCTCCACCGCCGGAACCTCACCCCGATAGCATCGCTGCCAATGGTATGTTATTGGGTATCTTTGCAATAGTTGGGAGTAAAATGGATTTGCTTTGAAAGGGAAGACGGACATTTCCTGAGAAAATCTGGGAGAATAATTATTGTAAGTGCGGAAGCGCTAATAAAAGTGCTCGTATAGGTACGTTAAATCGTTTTTATGGCTTCGGCGCACTTATTTCTTGGTTGAATAAGTGCGCAGAAGACACCAATGCGATACAGCGTCAATGCGCACTTTTGTTACCGTTATCGGACTTGCAGGAGTCCAGGTTTAGTTGCAAATAACAACAATCAAAAGAAAACCAATTCGGGACGCTTGACGATGGGGTTTTGTTTCGAAAAGAGACGATAAGGCTGCTAGACGGTTCATGAGAAATTTCGTAACCAAATTTAATAAATCCAAAAGATTTCTACCAACCTAGTGCTTTCAGACAATGAGATTTCGTGCAACGAAATACGTGATATTAAAGAAATGTCAGATTGTATATGATAGTGACTACCGCTTCTACTCTTTTTTCTTCTGTTCGGGACAAAAAACCACTGCGATCAGTAATTTTTGATCTATTGCAGTACATCCCGTGTGCTTAGTTTGGTGCATTTCCTGTTACTCCATTATTATTGAGAAATGATCAAGAGTATTCGGTTTTGATTCAGTTGTCATTCTTGTTTTCATCGCAAGGAACCACCGATTCTAATTGAAAGGTCCCGCGAAGAGTTAGAGCATCCTCCAAAGGTGCGTCAGTCAAAACCGAGTGCCTTAGCAATAACATCAAGAAAAGACACCGATATTGACCATGCTTCAGGACCCTAATCTCAATTTTAAACTAGAGGACAACATACAAGATTAGGAATAACATAGATGCAACTTCAAGGGACACTGTAGAAATGAAATAAATTTTGTAGGAATCCGAGGAACTTCATAGAGGTTCAGAAAATTTCGTAGAAATTCAGGAAACATGTAATTGTATTTGAAAACTTCGTACAAGTGGGAACTTTGTATTTAAAAAAAAAACTACCGCTGGAGTATCTTGAGAGAGGTCAAGGAATTTTCTTTCGATAACCGTAGGCGGGAAAGCGGTAACGGAATTTTGTTAACCTAAAAGCAGTCGCGTCAAATCACCGAAAAATGAGCGGCATTTTTGCAAGCGAATGAAAGAGAAAATGTCACTTTAATTGATCCGTACACATAACAAATTTTACTCATGTGATGAACTAGCCTACGGCTAAAAATCACAAAAATAAAGAAAAAAAAAAAAAAAAAAAAACAAATTTTACTCATCGCTGAGTTCCTGCACTTTTGGCGATTATGAGTGAACTAAACTCAAATTTGGGTCGTTTTCATTTGCCGTGTGTATCTGGCTGACAAATATCTGTAAAAAAAATCTGTATTTTGGCAACAAGTTCGAAAATATAGTGTTGCCAAAATCGAACCGTGCCAAAATCGTGCGGTTTTATTTTTAAATTTAATTTATGATTTCGATGATTATGGACCATTGTGGGTCATCTTTATTACATAGACGGTATTAATAATTATTATTTTATTAAAAATTGTAATCACATGGCATAAAAGTACATTATTTTCAAAATCCGTTCGATTTTGGCATGGTGCTAAAATCGAACCCCGTGCCAAAAACGAACGGTTTTGTGGATTTGCTACGGGTACTGTGATTTATTTATAATGGTCTCATTGTGAATGTACCTAAATCTTCATTAAATTTATTCATAGTTCAGAAGGAGTTTGTTCAATGTTCAATCTTGAAAAATGACTTAAATTTGCTTTCTAAAGAATTTCCCTTTTTTTATCTAGAAATCCTATAATCTTGATTTTTTAAGTGATTTGTACCTTTTCTACAATTAAAAAAATACAAAACATCAAGTTTCAGTAGTAGCACAGACAAACAGACGTAACTCTTCATTGTGTATCTTCGTTCATGCATTTAACGGTTGATTTGAATATTATCAGTTCCGCGAACTACTCGCCGCAGCGCTGGCATCAGATCACTTTGACGTTTCTATACATTCTATAGAACTTTTATGCAATATTGTTTACGAGTTAGCGAGCAAGCTTGTTTTCCGCGAGAAGCCAGAGAGATGTCGTTACTGAGGTTATATGTTTTGAGATACTATGTTTTCAAGAACAAGTTTTTCAAAGAGTTACGTCTGTTTGTCTGTGGTAGTAGTGAGAGACAAATCTGCTTCCAACGGAAAATATCCTGGGTTTACTAAAATGACTTGTTTACCCGTACATATAAAAATATTGTATCTGTCACCATGAGACGCGGTCAATTAAATAAAAAGAAAGGGAAACTAACTAACATCCCTTCCAAAGATAACTCAGAACATCTGATCATCAGAAGTCCATTCAAAAGATTCCCAGCCCATTCGAAGATAATACAATCATATTTTATTTAGTGAAAAAAATCGTTTTGAATTTGATGCTCATAGATTGAATTCAAGCTGCTCAAAAGTAAGAAACGATTATTTATCAAAATTAATAATTATAAAAAAATAATATGAAACATATCTTCTTTATTTAAAAAATCTGTATATTTTTCAAAAATCTGTAATCTGTATATACAGATATCAGTATCAAAATATTGAAAAAAATCTGTATATGTGGCATCACTGCTTCCACTGCCGGTTGGGTACTTGGTTTTGGCAAACGTCTGCCAGAATGACACACGGTAGAGAACTGTCTTCTCCTGGATGGACAGCTTCTGCCATGAGTCAGCCTTCTCCTTCTAGGGGCTAATCTTCGAGTGCCACTTCATTGAAGCGGATCACCGGCAACCAGCTCGTTGAATATTATCACGACTTTTTTTCGTCCTTGACTTGAAAATGTAAACACACAATCTCAAAAGTCATAAGTGCAGGGTTGCCAAACTCATGGGTTACTGAGACTGATAGCTTGATTGCCACACTTCGGCAGGGTCAGCAAAACGCTTGACCTAGCTTTCGGCACAGATAAAGTAGCCGGCACAGATTGGGATGTGCAGAGTTGAATATCCCTTGGGCCTTATTTATATACGGCCCGCCGGACATGGTGGAAAGGGACGGAAAATCGTGTTATAAGCAGACGGACAAGAGCAGATGATAGCATCAAAAACATAAAGAGAGAGAGAAAGATTAGTAATTTCCATTTAATTCCATTACCTTATTTGCTTATCCTTGACAGATACGCGTATTTCGTCTACAATGTGCAGACTTCTTCAGTGTCTTGTACTAATACTCGACTCGACTCGAAAAATTTGCGGTCAATTTAAACGAATTAAATTGATAGAAGCATTAAGGAATAACCAACGGGAAGAAGAAGTCTTCCCCTACCCGATGGTGACGTTGATTTGAGTGGGCGTGTCGTGAGTTTCTAGAAAACATCGAGACAAATCATTGTTTACAAAAGCTGTTACGCCCTAATTCCAGCTCTATCTAGAATTGTGCTTTTTGTTATTGAAGTTTTTAGCATTTTTTTTTAAATTTGACGAAAATTTGTGTTTATTTTTTCAGTGTGTATTTTTTTCTGAAATGTCAATTTAGTTGCCTACACCTAAAAAAGTTTTCATGTAGTTTCCATTGGGAATGCGCATAATATGTTTTCCATTAACAAAACCAATTATATCTAACTGAACTTCACATAACATTCATGTGATCACATGCAAGCATGGGAAAAATCGATTCATTTTGCATTTACTACTCACTCACACGCATACAACATCAGAAACGAACAGCAGCTTATGCGAGCCGCACTGATTTCGTTCGTATTCGCATTGCTTCTATTTTCTTCGATGAACGCAGAATTCAAGATAGAGCTGGAATTAGGGCGTAACAGCATTTGTAAACAATGACTTCTTTCGATGATGCCTTGAAAGTTAAAACTCGCCCACACTAATCAACATAACCATCAGGTAGGGTAAGACTTCCCCTACCCGACGGTAATTTTGGTTTGCGTGTGCGTGCATTGAATTCCTAGAAATCATCGAGAGAAGCCATTGTTTACAAAAGCTGTTACGCCCTTATTCCAGCTCTATCTAGAATTGAGCAAAACAGACAGCTGAGCGTAACATGAATGATTCTGAGTGTATTAGCACAGACAAACAGACGTAACACTTTGAAAAAGTTTTTCTTGAAAGCATAGTATCCCAAAACATAGGACCTCAGTAACGAGATCTCTCTGGCTTCTCGCGGAAAACAAGATTGCTCGCTAACTCGCAAACAATATTGCATAAAAGTTCTATAGAATGTATAGAAACGTCAAAGTGATCCGATGCCAGCGCTGCGGCGAGTAGTTCGCGGAACTGATAATATTCAAATCAACCGTTAAATGCGTAAACTAAGATACACAATGAAGTGGATGATTTCTCTTTTTTATTTTTGCCATGCTGAGAATTTTGCAGAAAGAATCACTTTTTATTTTCTAGCTTTAAACATACATTGACACATTCAAATTGCTGTTAATATGGAGAAAACAGTTACACTGTAACACATAAACATAAGCGTCAAGGAAATACCGTAAAACTGCTGTGGCCAATTCAACTGATTTAAATCAGTGAGCTAAAAACTATCTGACTCGGCTATTTAAATCGTTAGCATTCGGATCGAACGCATTCAATCTGATTTTCCCTCGGTAGAGAAAATTTTTCGGCTGCCTTTCAATTTATCCTTCTTTCCTTCTACTGCTGTCAGTTCTGAGTCGACCTGCAGAGTCACTTGGTTGGAAGAATTTACACTCGTTCGGCAATCTGTTTGTAGGTGAGGATGGCTAATTTGATTCTGTGGCACTCGCGCGAGTGAATGAATTTTCCCATGCTTGATCACATGAGCTCTATATGATAAATCACTTAAATTTCATTTGATACATAAAGTTCATGTGATTTTGTGGTGCAATTCCCAATTATGATATCACATGACAGTTATGTGAAATTCTAATGAATATTTTCCATTGGATATGTGATTTATTCTTTGAGTGTATACAAATTTGTTTCAAATAGTAATTCTATGTACAGAGATTCGCGGAAATATTATCAGACGATTTGACAACGTGATATGTTTTGTTTACAAAAGTTGCCAACACTTACCGCGGAGCAAAATGTTCCATCTTTGTGCGTGACGTTATCGTTGTCTACGGTATGAGTTCGTTTGAACTCTCAAAGAACTGGTGGACTATTTTTGCCGAGGCGGGCGACTCTATCTAAGATGCAGGATTTTTATGTTGCTTTGCTGTTGTGAGATGCACTCCGCTTAATAGATAGAAACAAGATTGATTATTATTTTGAAGATTTCCTGCAAAAAGGTGGAAGAGCGATGCGGGTAGATGGGTTTAGATGCAAGAGATGTAAAAAGATTTTTCGTAGATTGACGTGAGTGAGTTTTGACGGAATCGTGCATTTTATCACACTGTTTGAATGTCCTGTTACAGATGCAATCAGCAATATTTTCCGATCTGAAAAATTTATAAAAAATATCCATTCACAATGTATTATATAATTCAGAGCCAACATTTCAAAGGGGCGTAATTGCTTTTGTAAACAATGGCTTTACAAATTCTCGCAAATAAAAGTCCATCCCTCCAAATAAACAGAGCTAGTTGGTAAAGAAACATTCATCTACCTGCTTGTGTCATTAATCTTCATGAGTAAGTTTGATTCACGAGAAATCGACGGCTTAAGTCATTGTTTACAAATACAATTACGCCCCTTTGAAATGTTGACACTGAATTGTTAATTATGCATAAAACTCTCTTATATCATACGCATTTTACTGCTATAATACATATTTGCTTTTAGTTTGAATTTATTCCCCCCCTATTACAATATATTTCAACTTAATAAGAAATCCTCTAAATATTTTCTAATCAGAATGCTCGTTTGGCTCACATTTTGACAGTTCTCGCTGCTCGATTGGCTCAAAATGGCCGCTTCCGCGAATCTCTACATCTAGATAGAGCTGGACTTAGGGCGAAACAGCTTTTGTAAACAATGACTTCTACCGATGATTTTTTCTGGGAACTCAAGGCACGCCCACGCAGACCAACATAACCATCGGATAGTGGAAGTTTTTCCCTACCCTATGAGGATGTTGGTTTGCGTGGGCGAGCCTTGAATTTCTAGAAATCATCGATAGAAGCCATTGTTTACAAAAGCTGTTAGGCCCTAATTCCAGCTCTATCTAGATATATTGGATTAGGGGGAATTTGGTGAATGTCTACAAAAATGTACAAAAAATTGTATAGTGGTTTAAAACATCCCAAAAACAGTCTACGTAGTTTATGAACGGTCCCTAAGACAAATCGTTCTTTTATAGTAGTAAGCCTCAACTCTGATTAACTTTTAATACCGACCCTGTTTGAATGATCTGCCAAATATTTGCCTAGAGTCGTGTTCATTAATTCTGATGTCGACATTCAACCAGACGGACATTCTTGATCGGGATTATATCCGAGCATATAATACCGGTTGGGCCTTACCACCATTATTGAATAAACTCTTAACTGATTTTCTATCTTTGCTCTTTTTTTTCCAGCTCCCGCTCCTCCACCACCGGAGGCGGATGATTCCGAACAGAATCAGAAAACGGCCGAAGAGCTCGCCTTCGACGAGCAGTTCCGCAAGTGGGAGGAAGAGTTCAACAACTGGAAGCGCAAGAATGCTAACCACCCGGACAAGAATGCCTACCGGGAATACGAAAAAAAGTTTGTTGAATGTCGGAAAAAGCTACTGGAAAGGCGTGAGCAGTTGCGTAACAAGAGACTGGCGGAACAGGCAGCATCTGCGCAAGCATCCTCTCTAGGGGGCTACCAATATAACCAACCGCCGCCACCGCCACCACCGGAGGAAGAACCCGGAATGGATGTCGGATTGTTTAAGAATGCGCTGGGTGGAGGCGGCGCTATCGGAGGTGGAATCCCTGGTTTGGATTTAATCAACGAGGATAAGTCGGTGAAACAAAACGACGATGAAGTGATGGAAGTCATTAATCTTGATGATGAAAATGAAGAAAAACCCAATGTGCAGGAGCTGAATGAGAAACAAGACATTGCGAAGCTACCTAATGCTAATCCGGTTAACGCTTTGGCATCGTTGTTGAAGGATCCCAAAGTGAGTGCATTGTTGAACGTAATTTCTGGATCTAGCAATGGTCAAGGCGTGAATTTGGCAAGTCTCGGCAGTCATGAACTGTTACAGCAAATCCAGAGTGCAGCTGGAGCCGTCATCAATGCAAACCAAAATGGCAATTCTGGTCAAGCCTCGATCAATCAAGTCAAAATGCGGGACCCCGGAGCTCACACTCCCTTATCGGATGATCGAAGCCGTACGTCCTTCCATGACGATCGTCGGTCGGTTGTTTCAATGGATGACCGCAGTCGCGATTTCGATGATTTCAATCGAGGTCAACCACCGACAAAGCGCAATTGCAATGAGTACCACCAAGGTCCTCCACCAAATCGTGGCAGTGGTTTCGGCTTCGACGCAAGTGTTCCACCTCCTCTACTGGACATTGATCTTAGCCGACCTCCACCTCAATTTGGATCTCAACCCGTAGCGAGGCCCATCCGGTCGGATCAGCCTTCTCCAGCCCTGAGCAGCTCTTCCTCTACCGGTCGGCAACGTCAACCCCGTCAGCAACGTCAGTGGGTTGGAGATAACCGTGATATCAAACAGGAACCCAATTTAGATCGGGAACCAATTAGAAATGATTTCAGAAATCCCCCTCCGATAAAGGATGAACCGTTTAACGGTTTGAATTGTCCTCCACCGGATGAAAATATGGACTACTACGACGGTCATCAGAACGAGCTGCAAATTGATCCTGAGCTCGGTACACCATGTGCGGTTCCTAAGCCGGAATGGATGGAGGAAGAGGAGTATGAAAATATTTACGACCGTTTCGAGCACATCGAAGTATTCGAGGAGCGTAAGTTCAAGATGGAGCTAGCCATCAAAATGCTCAAGGAGAAGAAGGACAAGGAACGTGAAATAGCCGCCTCCAAAAATCAGCCGTCTAGGTTCGGAGATAATAGAAATGCCAACAGCGGTGGTGGCGGCAGCCGTTGGCAGGGAGGAATGCCAAAGCCCCTCAAAGAGGAACCAGGTCAAAAACGAGTAAATCCATTTGCAAACGATGATGACTACTTCCGCCCGAAGCAAGTGATTGACTATTCCAACGGGACGCCGCGGGTTTTCGATTACGGCCACAGCAGCAGTGGTCCAGTTGCGAAAGATGTCGACTCCAGGGTGGATGATAGGAACGACTGGCGCAGTGGTCCGAGTGGTGCAAAGGATGTCGATCTGCGAGGGATGGGTGATAGGAACGATTGGCGTAGTGACAATAACCGTGGCGATCGAGACGAACGACAACCCTTCCACAGTGGAGCTCGTGGGGGCAGAGGACGTAGGTTTCCTATTGGTACAAATTATAATCATGCGGCTACCGGTAAAAAGAAAAAGTTTGCCACATGAAACGCTCCAAGCGTTTCGAAAATTGATTGAGTTCTTGTTATTCCAGAACGAAAAAAAAATATTTGAGATTGTAATTATTATAAACGCGACGAACTTTACAGTACTCATGCATCATTTTTTGTTGCATGTCGATTGTACTAAAATTCTCTGTTCTACTTTGACTCTAAGAGTTATGATGTAATCGATTGGTAGAATATGAGCATGCCAATTGCTGCCGTTCTATATTAAGAGGAAATCGTTTCAATAAAATCAAATAAGCGTTAAGCCCAGTCTGCGAGATGTAAATTCAGTTTCTAAAATCTCACTATCGCATCGGCCTTGTGATTCAACAAGCATTTTGTCGCTTAACCCTTTCCTTCCCAGATGAGTTTTCGTTTTTTTGGAATTCGTTTAAAATTAATTGTTTTTCAATAGTGGCCCAGTTGAATCATGAGACGGACCGACAAAATGTGGATCATCTGTGGAAAGAAGCGGATTAAGAATTGTTTAGGACATTTTCCGGAAAGCCTCGCATGACCATTTTTTTTCTTTGCTCATTTTGCTACTATTAGCGTAGCGGTTAAAATTCAGCGATCTCGTCGTGATGGAACACGTATGTACTTTCAGGTTTCTCAAACGATGACTTCCAGCAGCCGCCGCCGCCGGCGCCACAGCGATTCGACTACAACCACGCACCACCATCGTTGGGAGCAATTGAGGTGCCCCCGTTCATGCCCGATCGGCCGCCGCCAAATTATACCGTTAATTCAACCAGCCGCTTAGCTGCTATGCATGACAACCCACATCCTGACGAGAGTAATCCTAACTATCCAAGCAAATTCATCCTGATGAATGATAATCGCCCGAATCGTCCCAGCACGAAACGTGGCAAGCGAGCTTCCTCTATCCGGAAGCAGAAACTGCGGGAACAGCAGGACGAACCTTTCAATAGCAGTGACCATGGCGATATCGATGATAGGCAACTCATTCCACCGGCATTTGTCGGCAATAGTGGACCAGTTGTTCAGCGTCCGAGTGACTATGACCTGGACATGAAACGTGGATCTGAAGAGAGTGAAGATAGCAAGTCTCCTTACTATTTGACTCCAGGTCCAATCGTAAATATCGATGATTTGCTGCTGCCGCCGGGTCGGTTTAGGAGATCGCAGAGGATTTGCTTCATAATGCGGGGAATTCCTGGCAGTGGCAAATCGTACCTTGCTCGCATGATCAAGGATTGTGAGATGAAGCATGGCGGGCAAGCTCCGCGGGTTCTGAGTATCGACGATTACTTCCTGGTGGAGAAGGAGGAACGTGAACCTGATCCGGTGACGGGGCGCCCGGTCCTGATTACAAAGTCCGAGTACGAGTTCGACGCCGACATGGAGGAGGAGTACATGAAGAATCTAATTAAGGCATTTAAACGCGCCATCACCGAGAGGCTGTACAACTTTATTATCGTCGATTGTGTGAACGAACGGCTGGAGCACTATAATGAATTCCACAATTTTGGCCGGAGCAATGGATTCAAGGTAAGTTGTGCGGGTGGTTTACAAAAAAAAAACGCACAATGATCTCATGTAATCGATCACTTCCTTAGGTCTATACCTGCACGCTACAAACCGAGCTGGACATGTGCATCGAACAGAACATTCACAAACGTACCGTTGACGACATTCGAGCGTATGCCAATCGATGGGCCTTATGTCCGAACGATCATGCACAAATCAATGCCAGTTCGCTGTTCAATCCGGAAGAGACCGAACCACCGCAGCCTACCGATATGGATCTCTGCACGGAAGAGGACGATGAACACCTGCTGGGGCAGACCGCCGTCGTCGATCAAGCACCGGTGGAAGAGGAAGTATGATCCTTTATTCTTGTTTTCCGCTCCACAGATCATTTGCTAGAATTTATAAATCAATGCACTTTTTCTTGCCACCTCACCGCTAGGCCAAGGAGGCACCGCAAGATGTGGAAGACGATTCTAATATCGATGGTCCAGAGGTGAGATGTTAGCTATTGGTCATGTCGTTTTCTCTTTTCTTCCGCAGCGGAATAGCAGCGCTCCTAGTTGTTGATTCCTGCCGGACACTGGAAGTTTTCGCTCAGTTGCTTAGTATTTGCTCTATTCTACGACACTGGTCGTAGTTGCTCTTGTTCTTTTGCTTGGATATTCACATTAACTGCATCTTTTTGTGTTGGCAAATAATTGTTAAAAAAGAAAATCTTAATTTGAAGTGCATCTTTTTCTACAGTGCAAATCTATTATATTATTATATAAATATAGTTGAAAAAAAAACCAGTGACGGATGCTATGCGAAGTGCAAACTATTTCTATGACTTTTAGTGTAATAATTTTCTGAAACGCCAACCAATTTATGTAAATCGATTGACAGATAGTCTGCAGTATTTTTTTGAAAATCCTGGCCAATATTCTAAAACACTTTAGTGTGATATTTGATTGTTTGAGTCTTCGATGTCAAAATGGGTGGTAAGAGGTTTAATGAGATGGGTTGAATGGTGTCAATATCGATCAAGTGAGTTGATTCCATTGGATTGCTTAGAGGTGTTGTGGTTTTTATTATCCTCTCTGTTCCATCCGGGGGAACCGAGGAAAGTGGACTGCAACACATCTTCGGGAGTAGGTCAAAGCTAGAGGAGAAGGATCATCGCTAGGTGCTTTGCCTTCGGCCAGTGTTGTTCGGACTACTTGTTGGAAACTCCGTTTCTTGAAGCCATGTCACGTTACGACTTCTGCTGCTGTTACCACCGAGAACAGACGTCCAACTTCCGTCAGAAACTTGTGAAAGGGTACGTGGGAACGTCGTCATTACGTGGCGCTAACATCTCCTGTTTTCCTCTATAAATTGTCAACTTTCTACCGATTTGGCGCTAGTGTCGATACATTTTCCGTTTAAAATTGTCCCTCGGCGCTACCGGCGCTTAGGCTGTGTTCCATTTGGTGAATCTTCACTTAAATTTTACTATTCGAAAATAAACTAACGACAGTGAGCAAGGGCCTAACTGCGATGATCGATTCTACTAATCGATTTTCTCTTTAAAATGCTACAGCTAAGGGAAACAATTTTCTGAAAATCTTTCTGTTGTTGACCGTATGATTTTCGAGTATTTCAACATATTCGCTATCTGCATTAAAAATGGAACCGAAATCCAAAATTACATCAATTTTGGTACACTGGAACTATTTTAAATAAGTACGATTACATTAGCAAAAATCACCATCTTAGCGCCCCTTGGTGGGACTTTGTATGGGAGCGAGCTGTCAACGAATAGATTTAGTGTCAACGATCAAAAATTTAAATATTGATTCAAAAATGGAGATGAATGTCTACGGGATCGATACAAATATCGTTGTGCTCAGCTCTATCAGATGATGTATAAAAATCGATATATTTTTCGAAGTTAAATAACCCAATTTCTCGCGAATAAAAGCCCACCCCACAAAATTACCAATGCTAGCTGGTGTCATTCATTTTTATGAGTGAGCTTTCATTCGCGAGAAATCGACGACTAAAGCCATTGTTTACAAATGCAATTACGCCCCTTTGAAATGTTGGCACTGATTTGTCAAAATTGATTCCTGATGGTCTGTAGAAATAATGTCGTTTTCGTTTTTGCGGTGTAGAACCGGTATGTAGTGTAAGCAGGGATAAGCCTAAAGCTGGGTTTAGACAGGGCAAGTCAATTGATCAAGTCAGTTGAATTCAATTGGCTTGAGAAGTTGAGCCTGGTTCAACTTTTTTTTTCAATTCAAGTGAGTTTATCAAGTCAGTTGAATGGCATGGTTTACACGTTCAATTCGCGTTCAAGTCAGTTGAATTCAACTGACTTGATCAATTGACTTGCCCTGTCTAAACCGAGGTTGACGACTCTATCAACGCTGCAGGAAAGGTTGTACTGTGCTGTGGCTAGCTGCTCGCACGCTGAATAGATAGAAAGAAGATTGATGACGATTCTGAAGATTTCCTGTAAAAAGATGATGCGCGATGCAAGTAGATTTTTCGAAGATTGATTCGCTAGTGTGAGATTTTTTCAGTATCTAAAATTGAGATTTAGATGTGTCACCCCCTCGGTCTAAACCCTGCTTTAGGGATAAGCGGGAGTCTTTGACAGCTCAACATCATTTCAAAGGTGCATCCTATATCTACTCCCTAAATTATTCCAGTGTACGGCAGTGTAGCACCGGTGTAGCTACACCACAAAAACGAAAACGACATAAGTCTGCTTGATTTTTTTCCTTGTCGGGTAGTTTCATCACTGCGACCATTATTCTGATCTATTGTGATATATTCCCCATTTTTTTCTTTAGTTATATCAAGATGCCGTATCACTATTATTAGGAGTGATCGCCATCGTTTGACTAATAGCATTATCCCAGCACGGCATTATACTTCGAATAAAGTGCACTGCCGTACTGGGAGTTGTTCTCCAAATGTCTATCAGCCCCTTGTCGAAAAACTTAGCATAGCAAATGTTCCGAGTCTTCCTTTTCTATGCCACAGAAGCGACATACATCATCTTGAAGTTTTCCAATCAGCTTCAAGTGATAACGGCTCGGACAATGACCTGTTATAAGACCTGCATATATCCTAAGATCTTTCTTAAAAAGTTCCAGGATTTTGTGGGTCACAGAAATGTTTGGATTAATGAATCGCTTCGACTGCCTAGCAATTGAAGTGTTCGTCCAGTTTTCCTCCACTTTTGAAGATTCCCACGCTTTTAGCTCCATTCTAAGAGATGCAGCCGATAAGCCACAAAAGGGCTCTGGCCCGATGAACTTATGAGAAGATCCGAGTCTTGCTATTGCATCAGCTCTTTCATTTCCCTCAATCCCGCAATGACCAGGAACCCAATATAAGTTGACTTGATTATGACAAGACAATTTTTGATGTACATGTCGCCGACTTTAAAGCATTTAGAGCAGCTTGACTGTCGGACATGAAGCATATATTTGAACTCCTATAGTTTCTACGCAAACATATAATGGAACACGATAATTTGCTTGGATTTCAGCTTGGAACACAGTTGGCCATCTGCCCATAGGAACCGATATTTCTATCCCTGGGCCCACTTGATTGTTCAATCTTGAACCATCTGTATAAAAAATAATCGATCCTGGACGAAGAACTGGGCCACCAAATTGCCATGAACGCCCAGGGTCAACTACTTGAAAAAGTCGATTGAAATTGTATTTTTCTCCATCCAAGCTTCGTTGTTCCTTATTAGAGAGTTGATACTACCAGTTTTTAGAATCCTAAGATGTCCTCTAAGGTCTCCTTCAAAGAGTTTCACTGACCTTGTAATTCTTAGAGCACACTTTTCGGCTACTAATTGTACAAATTGATGCAATGGTAGCATATAAAGCAAAGCATCCAATGCCTTCGATGGTGTACTTCTCATTGCACCTGTTATTGAGAGAGTTGCTAACCCTTGGAGTTTTCTTACTTTCTCTGAGCAACACTCTCTTTTGTTTTTGGCCACCAGACCAATGCACCATAAGTAATCCTGGATTTCACAATTGCCGAGTGAATCCAATGCATCATTTTCGGTTTCAGTCCCTTTTGACTTTGAATTTAAATGATCTATATTTCTTGAATTTGTGTGGTTTACATGTATAACTTATCAAGTGACACAGATGCGTCTTTTCAACTTTAGTTCTTGTGAAATTTCAATTATTATTAATTACAGTTCCTAGTCCTATCAGGCCTATTTTAAAGTATGACCACCTTGGTGGGATTGGTATGATTTGAATGGGAAAAAGGAGTCTACTTATAACTACTATTTACAACTACAACTAACCTACAACTACTATATACACCTAATCTACTATATACAAATTGCTTATCAAAGCATGTTCTGATAAATTACATTTTTGTGCAAATTTAGTCTTAATTTCGTTAATTTTGGAATCTATTTTGGCAATGCCTGCCTCTTCATGTAAATTTGTTATTCTAGTGTCGAAAGGACGATCAAGAACCATCCTCAGCACTCTATTCTGAGCGACCTGGATTTTGTTCCTGTGAGTCTGTGAACATGATTCCCACACCGGAGCTGCGTAGAGGATCGCAGGTGCTACGATTTGTTTGTAGACGGCCAGTTTGTTCACCCTTGAGAGGCGGGATCTGCGGCAAATCAGCGGATACAGACACCTAACCAAGGCAGAACACTTGACTACTGTTTTCTCTACATGCGAACGGAAGAGGAGCTTTTCATCGAACAACATCCCGAGATAGGTTACTTCGGCAGACCACTCAACCCTTGTGCCATCCATGATTACAGTACAAGATGGAGCCGGTTTCAGTTTGGGCGATTGCCGATGGAGGAACATGATCGCTTGTGTTTTGGAGGCATTGATTTTGATTTTCCACGTGGTGGCATAATCAGCAAAGGCGTTAAGGCATCGTTGAAGTTTGTTCGTTATTTCGCGAGGCATCCTTCCTTTGACGGCTATTGCGGTATCATCTGCGAACAGGAAGAACACGCAACCGTCACCGAGGGGAGGAATGTCGGAAGTATAAATGCTGTAAAGCAAGGGGCCCAGCAGACTACCTTGCGGGACTCCTGCTGGGATGGAAAACGTGTCTGAAAGACAACCATTCAACGATACCTTAAACGACCTTTGCTGGAGGTGATTTTAATAAGATGTAAAGGAAAGTTGAAGTTACAAAGCTTGTACACAAGTCCATCATGCCAAACATTGTCAAACGCTTTCTCAACGTCTAACAAGGCCATGGCTGTGGACTTGGATACAGCTTTGTTACTTCGGATGTCATTCATCACCCGCACTAGCTGGTGATTGGTGGAGTGCCCCTTTCTGAACCCAAACTGTTCCGGAAGGAGAATGTTATTTTCCTCGACAAACTTGAGCAAACGATTGAGAATGAGTTTCTCGAACAATTTGCTCAGCGCTGAAAGGAGGCTGATTGGTCTGTAGCTTGAAGACAATGTTGGATCCTTACCGGGTTTGCGGATTGGTATGATTT